GGGGTGGGTGTTGAACCCACGCCCTCAGTAGTTTCCAGTAGCATGCTCACCACTAGGCCAGCCGCGCGCCTATGCTAGGATACGTGTTGAACATGTTTTATAATCTACCTGCAAAAATATGAGAAATATGAAAAAATAACAAAATCGGGGATCGAACCCGTGACCAGAGGGAGGAATGACTTAGCGTGCATGTTTTAACCACTGGGGTGGTGATAGATCCATTAGTATAACTGAAACGATAAATATATATTATATGATCAAATATACTGGATAGAGAAGCACCAGAGCCCTAGCTCTGGTCGTCTTCTCCGGCGACCTGTTTCTTTAAAACCTGCAAAAAAACACAACATTAATGATCCAACAATATCCTACCCCCCTAAAATAGAGGTTGTAAATCCAATGGAAACATCTTTGAGGGATAATTTGTCCTGGTTTATGAGGTATGGTAAAAATAACATGAATCGGTTTGATCATGGTCATTTATGGTTCAGCTAGCATGGGACTCATGCAATGACTTAAACCTGCACATTAGCATCTCAGGGGCACGTTAGTGGCATTAGTATGCGTTAAAACATCATGAAAACATAAATACAAGAATCATGAAATAATGCAAAAACAGAGGTACATGTATGCTGGTTCAGATCCTTTGGATCATGGTAACCGATCCAATCTTACCCTTCAATGTTCCTGGAAGTGAATGGAATGGAAGTTTGGTGGTGAGGAGATTTGAAAATTGGGTTTTCAAAACTTAGGGTTCTTGGAAATTTTTTATGTTTTTTGACAATTTTATGGTGCAAGGATTTTGTGTCCTTGTTCTTATCTTGATGCCTGAATATATAGATAATTTTTAGGGCAAAAACCAATGGGCTTGGACTCTTGTACAAAATATATAATTTCTATCTTATTTATTTTGTACTATTAATGAATCAAATCAAAAATAATTAAAATAATTAAAATAAAACAAGTTCAAAGGGTGTATGAATGAATTATGAGGTATATGAAGGGTATAACACATGTTTGGACCTCAAAATCATGGCCCAATAGTCCAAAATATCAAGCTTGCTCACTTTGAACTTCATGCATTTGTTCAAAATTTCCCATCTTGCAATGGTCATAATCACTCAATTTTTATCTTTTGATGGTGATCTTGGACTTTTTGGAAAGCTCAAGATATCCTATACAACCTCTATGTTGATAATTTTTGCTTTTGAAAACTCTATCTTAATGTAATTTGCCTTGACAAAAAGTGTCTTTTTGTTGACTTTTGAAATGACCTATAATGTATTTGCTTATATCTCTCAAATGATGCATTTTTTGAACTTGAACTTACAGAGATAAAGTTGTATAGGATTGAATTCCCTTCAAAATAAGATTTAGTTGGGGAAATCTGATGAAGCATGTGAAAGTTATGCTTGGTCAAAGTTCAGTTGACTTCTCCTAATGAAACCCTAATTTGGCAACTTTTGACCTTTGATGATTTGAGGGATTTTCTTGCAGAATCATGGTAAACCCTTGATCAAAAGATGAATATCACTTAAAAATGTTGATGTTGACCAAAAATCTTGAGGTTTGATTGTATGTTGGCCATGGTTGACTTTTTACCCAATACAGTTTATCTTCAGTCATCTGAGAAATTGACTGAGCAAACTTGTGATGCAAGGCATGAAACTTGACATGAGCATTCTTGAACACATATGAGGACCCATGAAAATCACTTGAGACCTTGATAATCCAATGTTCCTTGTGAAACACAAAACCCTAGTTGTGGACCCATTGCTTAGGAGGAGAATTTGTCTGATCAATTCTTGAGCCACCTTGAGCATTTGAGGACCTTTTGAGAATGTATTGAAGAAAAATGGGAGGGAAAATTTTGGGGTACAACACTTTGTAACCATTATTTGTTGGATTTTGTATATGAATTTACCTTGATTATATGTATATTTATTTCTCATGGTGTTGTATCAAAATTTCTTTACAAATCTATATTGATGTTTATCCTTGTTAGCTTGCTAAGTGTCTGGGTTTGAGTTGTTGCAGAGATGGATGAATTGAATCCGGATTTAGGATGAATATCTATTGGAATTAAATTCTATAGATATATTTAGGCTTAGTAATCACTTAGGTATCGGCTCTTAATGCCTCCGTGTTGTTTTGTGTTGTTCTGAGAGATCGTCGACATGGAGCGACACGGTTGATATCTCGCTCTGTGTTAGAAATGACCTATGTGTGAGAGATACGTGATGATATTGACGATTAGTTAAGGTTAAGTACAAATGGATAGTAAGTTTAATTATTTGATGGGGTAGACAAAATACAAACTTGATAGTTCTATCCTATTCGAATGATGAAATTCTTCTTGTGTGTAACTTTTAATTTCAGCACCTTACATACAAAACCATTCTAACCCAAACTCATTAATGAGAGAATTGTCGAATGACAATTCAATAACCAATCTTTGTGGACACAATAATTTTTTCTTGCCGCTATATTGCAGCATCATAACCCTAACACACCAACACCATCGACATCGTCAGGAAGAATATAACAACACCCACACTCATTGTTGTTGTCCAGTTTCGTTTCAATGTCGCATTTGAAGACAAACTCATCCAAAGGTGTTACTATGTCTTCTTTCGTTATAAAATCTCGATATGTAAATTTATGTGGTTGTGATAGTCGTATGGTTTCATACCAATGCAAGAAGAGACAAAATAAAGGAAGGTTTTTTTGGAGATGTCCATTTTGGAGGAGTGGTGAAACATGTAATTTGTTCATATGGGATGAATACATGAGAGAAAAATTATGAAATTAAGATGAGAGTAATATGATGCCTGATTTGGAAGTTGTGGGCTATTTGAAGGTTATATATGAAGATTCAAAAAAGAAGAACAAGAATTTGAAGAAAAAACTGAAGTCAGAGATTTTCTGGAAATTTGAAGATGTTATGTTTTCTTATCTCCTAAATGTTTAAAATTTACTTTGTTATGAAATGTAATTGTTGAAGTAGGGTTTGAAATTTTAAAATATTATGTTTTCTTATCTCCTTTATGTTTAATATTTACTTTGTTATGAAATGTAATAGTTGAAGATGCAGTGAACTTGACAGGAATGCAACTAACAGACGGTTTCTTACGAGTAAGTTCATCACAACTGTTGAATTTTCAATTACAATTATGTATTATATATATTTTGTAGTTTAATCTGATAGTTTAAGTTGATAGTTTAAGTTGAATGTTTAAGTTGATAACCTTAAGAGAGTTAATAATAAAGAATAAAACTTCATTACATAAAACTTTCATTACATGATCAAAACCCATAATAAAATCTAAATCCTCCCACTGAGATAAAGTTAGACCAATCATAGTCAACCTCACCATCATCAGAATTGGAAACAAAATCATCATTTTATTTCTCAACCTTCTTCTTCTTCTTTTTCTTATTCACCTTGTCACCCTGAGAGCTCTCATTAGTCTAAACACAGTACCCTCTATAACAACATCTTGAATCTGAATATGGTTATGCACCACAACACCCTCTACATCAACATCTTGATTCTGAGGCTGGTTTTGTACCACAACCCCTTCTACAACAACATTTTGATTCTCAACCTTGTTGGTAGTTTGAGCCGGATAACACATGTTGATTACTTTGGATGAAGTTGTTTTTGTGTTTTGGTTTTTCCGTTTTTATATTCTTCCTTATGACTCTTCATCTTCTTCTCTTGGAAGTTTAAAAACCAAAGTTGCTCATTATTTTTTCTTTAATTTTATAAACTTTCTCTTCTCTTGGAAGTTGGAAAGATTGCATACCTCGAGCTGTTCAAATTTTGATGTACTTAATGGAATTGTGTACTTATAATACATGTTTTGATATAAATTCAAATATGGTTTAGTTTTGATTCCGGTATGAAAATTTTACATTTATTCATATACAATATCACAATGGTTAATAGGAATAATTGTTGTTATAAGGCGCACACCTTCTAGTTTACTACAACGGTCACTGGACTATGATTGTAAGTACTGCATATACAATCACACGCTACATAATAACGCCTGGTCTTGTATGGTTATATATCTTTCCTAACAATTGTTAAATGCCTTTTCCATAGTAGTTTTCCTAAGAATCAAGGTCACTTTAGATTTGATAAATCCCATCAAAAGAGGAACAATTGTGAAATTCAAGGAGAAGAACCTTATAGTTCATTTCAAGTTCGAGAGGCTTCTACTTTCTTATTTGTATGTGGAAGAATTTGGCATCAACTCAAAGATTGTGAGGCCTTGGAAGAGTTTAATGATGAAGGCTTTGAATAAATCAAGGAACAAGAACTCTCATATGGCCAATAGCTGAGAGCTTCAACCTTCCAAATATATTTGAGGAATAGAAGAAGAGAGCGTCAAGCTTCGGTACTTGCAGCAAGAACCTATTCAATGCATCTTCAGGGTAGAGTACATACGAATCCAAGGGGAAAGACAAAAAAGAAGAACCAGAGGTGCAACAAACAAAACAAGGGGAAGCTTCAAATGAGATCTCAAGAGACAGAATTCAAGAAGATAAAGGAGAAAACTTAGACATAGAAACGGTGGCCGAAATCGTTGGGTGTTGTAGCCATATCAAATGAGAATCAAGGTGACACAAAGTTAAGCAAAACTTCAGTGGTTCAAAAAAGGAAGTGGACGCGTAAGAAAGGCATTCAAAAAAAAGATAAGGTCATCTAGCAGAGTAGGTGGAAGAGGGGTAAAATGTTCAAAGAGGCATTTGGTTAATGTGATGATTATTGAAGGCTTTGTAGAAGACTACTGAAGCAGTGAGAAAAAGAGGAAGCAGGAAAGTACAAAGGATTTTACACAAAGCAAGTTACTAGAGGTGGTGTTGGGAGGCTAACACCGCATACAACAATGAAAATTGTTAGTTGGAACTATGGGGGTTTGGGGAATCCCTGTGCAGTTTGAGCCTTGCCAAGGCTCTATCATGTTAAAAATCCCTCTGTAATCTTTTTGATGGACACCCTTCTAAAGTATCACGAGTTTGCTACTTTAAAGAATATTTGTGGTATGGACCATAGTTTCACTATGGAATATGGAGGCGAAGAAAGAGAGAGGGATAGAGGTATTGTCATGCTGTGGATGGAGTCTCTTAAGGTTTATGTTACAAATTATTCTTTGAGCCATATTAAGTTTGAAGTGATTGATGATGAGGAGGAGAAACCTTGATATCTCACGGGTGTTTATGGCTTCTCTGAGGATAGTAACAAAAGAAATACTTGGAAACTCACCAAAAGTCTTAAGGTGGATAATGGAGATAAGTGGATTTGCATAGAGGACTTCAATGATATGCTATCCTAAAATGAGAAACAAGGGGGTAATTGCAGAACTTTCGGGAAGTTTAATTAGGGAAGACAAACAGTGGCTGAGTGTGGGCTGCAAGATCTAGGGTTCGAATGGTATCGATATACTTGAGCCAAAGGAATACAAGGCTCCAAAAGTATCCAATGATCACTTGACAAAGAATTTTATAATAATTCGTGTGCTTCAAGATTCCATCCTATTAAGTTTACTCACCTTTCTCGGTTTGGTTCTGATCACACAACTATAAGGTTAGTTCTGGAGTGTCAGATGAATGATGTGGAGAACAAATGGAGGCACATATTTAGATTTGAGGATGCTTGGGCCAGGGGAAGATAGGTGTGAAAGAATTGTTAGACATAATTGGAATGGTAATTATTTGCAAGGGTACAATAAAATCAAAGTTGTTTCAGGTATTGGGGAGTCCTTCAAGGAGTTTAGGTGTGAGTCCATCTGCGAATATCTTAACTGCATAGAGGAACTTCCGAAGGTAGAGGAAAGATGGGATACTAGCAAGGAGAGTATAAAGAAGTTGAAGTCATTATATAGTCAAAGAAACAACCTTATGAAAATGGAAGAAGCGATATGGAGACAAAGGAGTAGAGCGTTGTGGCTGCAAGATGGGGATAAAAACACGATATTCTTTCATGGGAAGGTTGAACAGAGGAAAAGAACTAATCACATAAGCAAGCTGAAGGAAGATAATGGAAAATGGTGGATGGGAGAGTTAATTGTGAGTGTATTCTAATTAATTACTTCTCTGATATGTTTTCTTCTTTAGGCCCTTCGAACATTTTTTAGACTTGTGCAGTGGTTAAAGATAAGCTTAACAAGACAAACAAGGAATGGTGTGAAGGATTTTTCGCTGAAGCTAAAGTTGAAGCCACTTTGTTCCAAATGCATCTGCTGAAAGCCCCTTGCCCAGATGGGCTTCCTAGTTTTTTTTTCTCCAAAAAATACTAGCATGTTATGGGAAATGAAGTTAAGAAGATGGTGATGGATATTCTAAATGATGAGTAGGACCTGGTGGAAATGAATAAAACTTTTATTGTTCTTATCCCAAATTGCAAGAATCCCAAACCCCCAATGGAATTTCGGCCCATAAGCCTTTGTAATGCTGTGATGAAAATTGTCTCTATGACCATTGTCAATAAAGTAAAATAGATTATGCCAGATATCATTGATGTGGAGAAAAGCACCTTTGTCAAGGGGAGAGTGATTACGAACAATGATCTTATAGCCATGTAATGCTTCTATTGGATGAAGAAGAAGATGAATGGTAAAAAAAAGGTGTGATGGTCTTAAAGCTTGAAATGTCGAAAGTGTACGATAGGATGAAATGGAGTTTTGTGGTGGGGGTTATGGATTCGATGGGATTTCCTGAGAAGTTGGTGAAGTTGATTCATAAATGCATATCCTCAGTGTCTTTTCAAGTTCTCCTAAATGGTTTCCCTAGCAAAGTGTTTTACCCGGAAAGAGGGATCCGGTAAAGAGACCCTTTATATCCTTACTTGTTTATTCTTTGTGTAGATATTCTATCTGGTTTACTGAAGAAGGAGGCAGGGGATCAAAACATTCATGGAATTCAAGTTTCCAAGAGGGCTCAAGTATCTCACACATCTTCTTCCCTGACGATAGTATTCTATTCTCCTGTGCCAATTCTACCGAAGTAGAGAGAATCATGGAGATCCTTTCAACCTATCAGAAAGCCTTAGGACAAATTGTGAATCTCGATAAGTCAGAAGCCTCTTTCAGTTGAAATGTGCGTGATGTAGTAAAAAAAGTTCCATATTAGGACAGAAGTTCAGACATTTTTATCTCACTCAAGATATCTTGGTCTTCTGGTGCTTTTGGGAAGATCCAAAAAGGATGTTTTTTCTCTTGTGGTGGAGCGCATTTGGAAGAAGGTTAAAGGGTGGAAGGAAGGATTTTTGTCGATGGCGATAAAGTAAGTTCTAATTATATTAGTTGCTCAAGAAATCCCATCCTACATCATGGGTTGTTTTAAAGTTCCTGATGGGGTATGCAAAGAGATTGAGAGGTTGTTAGCTAGATTTTGGTGGGGAGCAAAGCATGGTAAAAGAAAGGTTCATTGGATGAGTTGGGATAATTAATAGAAGGCTAAAGGAGTGGGAGGTTTTGGTTTCATGTTAATTGTTAATTTTAATTTAAGTTTGTTGGGTAAGGACTTTTAGAGGCTTCAAAAAGACGACGATTCTCTATTGGGAAGGGCGTGGAAGAGCGGGTACTTCTCAAATTGTTCTATTAAGGAAGCCAAAGTTGGTTATGCAATGAGTTTTGTGTGGGGAAGTGTTTTTAGTGCTAAAGATATGGTGTTGAAGGGCACAAGGTGTAGGATCGAAGATGAATCAAAAGTGAGAATTTGGGATGACAACTGGGTACCGGATAATAGACTAAATTATGCATTCATCCAAAAACTCATATTGAAAATAAAAAGGCAAGAATCACAATGGTTTTTTAAGGTTGTAATGTGGCTTGGTTAACAAACAAGGGATAAGTCATAAAGCTAATTAAAACAAAAACTTGCCTTAAACTAAGGGAGTGATCAACTCACAAAGACTCAAGCAAAATAATTTCAATCAAACTTCTTCTCCATTCCAAATTTCAAACCAATACCCATCACTTATTAACACAATATTATTCCAAACACTTTTTGTTTTTCTTTTTCAAAGCTTTTTTCAATTTTTCTTTCTTTTTCTTTTCACTTTTTTTTCATTTTTTTTCTTTTCTTTTCTTTCTCAATCTCATAGTAATACAAACAAGCACATAAATATTTCTCTCCCCAACTTGAATTCAATCATATTATAATGTTAATACTGCCTACTTTCTAAGGCAAGGTAAAAATTCAAACTACAACTTATAGTTAAAGGTTCAAGGAAACAAGGAATCAATATTCATACAAAAAGATGAACCAAACACTCATAGACAAACATTTAGAAAAAGCAACATGTATATCGATAAAAAGTTCAAAGGGGTTAACAAAAATTCACACACTCACAAGGTGAATTGACTATTTGGACAAGGTAGTTGTGCTCAAAATGAAACAAAAAATGCCTTGATCATGTTCAAGCTTTCATACAATCAACACAAACAAAAGATTAAACATAATAAAATCCAGTTAAAACAAGAATTATGGCCTCCAGCATATTTGAACAATGGAAAGCTTCCTCACATTTATGGGTAAAAAGGGAACTAAATTGATTCAAGTCATGAGCAAGTAATGCAAAAAGAATAAGTGGTATAGTAATTATACAAATGATAAATTCCCTAAACATGTTATGCTATAGAAAGCGATAAACGAGTATCTGGCGTGTATCAACTTCAAAACATTATCATTACCATACATCTGCAAGTTGAAACACTCAAATTTGGAAAATCACCAATTGCACTTCAAGCTATCAAACCAAAATTCGAGTCCAAACAACAACAAAAACAAATGGATGAAGGTGAATAAACAAGTTTAAAAGTGAAGATTTAAGATTTTAGAAAAGGTCCAATTTCAACTTGTTTAAACAATTAATCAACACACTACCTAAACTAATCAAAATGAAAAACAATAAAATATGCTTGTTTTACATCGTAAGCTTGACGCCTGATATTTACAATTCACATGTTTCTTCGAATGAGCCAAATGCTTCACTCTCGCCTTTTCTCTCATCTCTTTGAGCTCTAACCGGAACTACACATCTAACCACACTTTTGGAAAACGTGAAAAGAAACAAATATATACAATATATTCACAAGCATGTAAAACATGTACGATTTATAGGTTTGGTAAACATATACAAACAAATGTACAATTAAACATAAACAAGTTCATTTACAATTTCTATGCAACATATACATTAATTACAAAACTCAAAAACAAAGAAAATATCGCAATGCAAAACAATAAACACCAATTCCCGGCAAAGGCGCCATTTTGTTGAAGTGGTATACGGTAAGCAAAAAGTATTCTAAATATTTTTCTGGGAATTTATCGTGTCCACAGAGATTGGTGCTACTGAATTTTCGTTCGACAAATCTCTTGTTAATGAGTTTGTATAGAATTGGTAAAACATAAAAACATAAAAATAAATATGAATAGGAAAGAATTCATTCTCTGGAGAGAAGAAACTTATCAAGCATGCATATAATCTGCTTCTCACAAACTTAAACTTATCGACCAATTACACTCAACCTACAATACTCCTCAGAGTCATCTAGCACCGCTCACTCCTAAGTTATTTCTAACCCAAAGTAGATAGAACTACAATTTGAACTTATCAATGGTATCACCTTATACATAGTCATTGAGCTAATTATTAAGGATTGTTAGTTGCTTTTGAAGGAGTTCTTTGTTTTAGTTGTTTTGTTTATAGGTAAAAGATAAAAAAAATTGTATCCCACTCTTTGGTTGGGATTGTTAAATTATAATTCATAGTGTCAAAATTATGGTGTGTCGAAGAGCACGCCGATTAGATTTGTTTTAGATTTAAATAGATTTTATTTAGATCGAAAATAGATAGATTTGATATAGTACCAAAATAGGTATTTTGGGCTTTTATAGTTTTGGGCTTTGAGCCAACCAAAATCTATAAATAGGGAGTAACCCCTAAGTCAATTCATAGTATTCACAGTATTTTGCAGTTGCAAAGTGAATAACAAATTTTTTCCACAGTTTGTGGGCAGAGAGAAACTCTGCAGAAAATAATTATCTTCATTCTTTTCTTTTCTTTATCATAATTCATTGTCATTGTGTAGAAATTCATCATAGATATTTGGTGGGTTTCCAACATCTGGTATCAAGAACTCGGTTAATAGATTCAAGGGAAGTATCGATCAAGAACAATTAAGGAAGAAAAAGAATTCACGATGGCAAATTATGGGAGTGCAAATTATCCAGCAACTCTACCAATTCTGAAAGTAGACAACTATGAGAATTGGTGCAAAAGATGAAAGTTTTATTCAGGTGTCAAGGTCTTTGGGATCTTCTAAAAGATGGATTCGAAGCGCTTGGAGAAAACGCTTCAGAAGAAGAAAAGAAGAAACACACAGAAATTGAGAAACTAAGTTATAAAGAACTCTTTATAATTCACCAATGTGTAAGTCCAGAAAATTTTGAAAAAGTGAGTGATTCAGAATCTGCAAAAGAAGCTTGGGATGTTCTTGAGAAGTCCTTTGGTGGTGCCGAAAAGGTGAAAGAAGTGAGGTTACAAACTCACAAGAGAACGTATGAATTGCTTCAGATGGAAGATAGTGAAAGCATATTTGATTTCTTTACTAGAGTTACAAAATAATGAATCAAATCAAGGTATATGGAGAAACATTAATAACAAGAGTTGTTGTTTGGTAGATCTTGAGATCTTTGGCTCCTAAGTTCGACCACGTGGTGATGGCTATAGAAGAGGGGACAAACTTGTCGAAACTGACAAAGGAAGAGATTCAAGGGATATTTGAATCTCATGAACAAAGAATGAATGAAAGAGCTGCAGGAAAGTCGAAGAGTGGTGTGGCTTTGCAGGACCAAAGGCAAAGAAAAGTGGTTCGAAAGAGGTAGAGGCGGCTACAATAAATAGACTGGCAGAGGAAACTAGAATGAAGGAAATGTGTCGAATCAGAGAAGACCATACCAAGGCAACCAAAAAGGTGGTGTTGCAAATAGAGGAAGAGGTGATGGTCGAAAACCTGATAAGAGTCACATTCAATATTACAATTATCAGAAGTATGGTCACTATTCGAGTGATTGTCCAGAAAAGCGAAAGAATCAAGAAAGTGATGCAAAGTTTGCAAAACCTGAAGAAGAAGAGATGATGTTGTTGGTCACAACAAGAGATGAAGATAGATTCAAGGACCAATGGTACTTGGATTCAGGATGCTCATCACATATGTCTGAAAGGAAAGACTGGTTTGTCAACATAAAGCCCTCAGTGAAAAATATGGTAAAATTTGCAAATGAAAATACCCTAGCAGCTGAAGGTATTGGTGATGTTATGGTTATGAGGAAAGATAGCAAGAGGTCAATAATTTCCAATGTGTTATACACACCAGGCATGAAGAGCAATTTGCTCAGTATAGTGCAGTTGGTCGAAAAGAATTATAAAGTGTCGATCAAAGATAAGATGATGAGATTCGTCGACACAAGTGGAAGATTAATCTTGAAGGCTCCTATGTCTCAGAACCGAACCTTCAAGATTAAACTACATGTGATGGAGCGCAAGTGTCTTTCGACTGCAGCTAGCAAAGATGGATGGATATGGAATTATAGATTAGGCCATCTCAACTTCAGAGACATCAAAGATTTGAAGAGAAGAAATATAGTTTCAGGATTACCAGAAATTGACATTCCAAAGGAGGTATGTGAGGAATGTGTGTAGGCGAAGCAGCACAAGAATGGCTTCAGCAAGGATGTAGGAAGCAGGTCGAAGGCTATTCTTGAAGTCATATACTCTAATGTATGTGGACCAATCCAGGTGGATTCAATGGGAGGTAACAAATACTTTTTTACATTCATAGATGATTTCAGTCAAAAGCTGTGGACTTACCTGATCAAGAAGAAAAGTAAAGTGATCGAAGTATTTTCCAAGTTTAAGTTTATGGTCGAAAAACAAAATGGTCGAAAACTCAAAGTTTTGAGAACTGATGGTAGTGGAGAGTATGTGTCAAAATATTTCGATATGCTATGTGTTGTACCCCAAAATTTGCCCTCCCATATTCTTCAAGAAATTGCCAAGTCAAAGCTTCAAAATTCCCCAAGGG